GTTTTTTCAACTTTTATTTTTTCCTGAGAGGATTCATGTGCCTTCTTGAATCACATAGCAGATTTGACATGGTAGGCTCTCCTTCCATGGAATCTGCAAGCAGAAGGAATGCTCATTTGGTGAATGTTGTGTTGCATTGCTTTTTTTTGGGGGGGGGGAAGGGGGCAGGCAGGTGCACTTAAAACCAGAGAGCCCCGCCAAAGATATTACCACCCATACGAACAACTGGTGTTAGCTCATTTTGTGAGCTGTCAGCACATAGCTATATATGTTGTTATGCCTGTGGATTCCTTACAGACACTTCTTTCATCTCACCCTTGGTTCTTCAAGTCTCTTCCATACTGGGTCCTTTAATTCCTAGCTCTGCAAAGCCCCACCTATTTTCAGTAATGTATATGCCCCATAGGAAGCCAACAACACCCTAATTTCAAGCATATACACCCCGAGTTTTCAATTAAAGCTTAAGCCCTCATCAGTGTAACTTTTCCTAACCAGACTTCTCAGTCAGCATCAAATTATACAGAAAGCATAAGTGTCTTAACCTATTAGATTCTGAGCACTTGCAATAGAAATAGAAAAAGAGAGTCACTATATTGCTGATCAGGTCTAAACAAATGGTGAAACAAGCATTTTATAAATGAAGCACCAACAGCCAACACCAAACCTTCATCTGTGTTTCAAGTAATCACAAAGTATAATTTGGATGTCAACAGAGTTTTGTGTAAAAATCCTTACTCAGTCTCACAGGCTTATTAAATACTATCTTCATTTTTTCTCAAGAAAATGAATTTTATCACAATTTGATTATCCAAACGTCTCATGTCAACCAAATGCATAAAATGGCATTACTTTATTAACTTTGTCTCCCACACAGGCTTAGCAGACCAAGATGAGCTCAACTTCAGCATAGGGGCCACATCATGTGCCTTCAGACTGCACATTTACTGTTAATTTACTGTTAATGTTCACTGCAAACTAATTATTATTATTTACCACCATTTGCCTCATTCCATCTTTTGTATGTGAGATGCAGTGAATATTGAAGGTCTTCTGCAGGAAAAAAATGAAAGAAACAATACTGATAGCAACTGGAACAGTTCTTTCTCTTAGCTATCCTGTTGCAGTCTCCCCCAACCTGACCACTGCATAGTTGGAAATGTAAGTGTTCCCAAAAAGACACACATCTGAATACTGTTTGTATGTGTGAAACAGTGTCCTCTGCACTTCTCAATGTGCCGGACAGCTAAGCTAGCTTGAGGATGGTGGGACTTGTAGTGCAAGAAAACCGGAGGGCACCAGGCTGGGAAAGGTTGCCTTGTTGCATTGGCTTCTTCCATGGTATCTGTAGTGTCTGACTGCTGATACTGCACTTGGAGCTGTTGAATGCAGTGCAATCCTCCATCGTTTCATCCTGAGAAACTTTAGCAAAGGGACGTGCCAAGTCTGTGTTCAATATAGCAAACTCTAAGATGCACAGATGGTATAGTAAAAGGAACAGTGCTTTAGAGTGGACCTGCCACTCTTTCTTTCAATGGTTCTGCTCTCATGTCTTTAAGAATAGCCTAGTACATAGAAATTTCCCAGTGAAATTTTCCCAACTATACTTAGAAAATAAAAGCAACTTCAAGAGTTTAATTTTGACTTACTGGGCAAGTGGCAACCTTCTTTTGGCCAGTGTGGATTTTCCAGTGGGGCTAGGGCATTGAGAAGACAGTTTCACTGAGGCATTGGCCCTTGGCTCAGAGTTAATCCTTGTTTCCCATCTTGCATATCCTCAATGCCTTCCCAAAATAGTTATCTCCTGAGTGTATCCTTCATTTATGGTAACTGAACTGCCAACTCAGTTAATATCTGTCTTTAAACATAAAACTAGCCTCAAGAGTTATTTTGCAGTATCTTTAACACAATGCTGTGAAAATTCTTTCCCTTCAAGCACTTCTAATGCACACTCCATTTCAGGGGAATATATCCCTACTTCCTGAGAAGGCATGAAGCAAAAATTCCAGAGAGATCAGCTCTCCAGAGAGAACTGGCTCCGAAGTGCTGCCTGCAACCTTAGCACAAGCGGTGAAGTCTTGGAGTCATGTTATTTTCAGTGTAGAATTAAATGGAAAATAAATATTTGAAACATATTCAGTATTTCTCCAGTGTGTTCCAAAGTGTCTGCCTCACCTCCGCCTCCTTCCTGGTGAGGCATCCAAAGAAGCTGCCTCACATGTCCTTCTGAAGGTTGCTTGAGTACAGGGCAAGGAGAACTGAGCAGCACTTTCAGAACTGCCAGTCTGTGCTGCTGCCCCTTGCCATGCAGGCTTGTGGGGGGACCCACAAGCAAATTCAGGAAGACCCATTCCCCTTGCCTAGCAAATAACAAACAACGAATTTCAAGCAAGTTATCCACAGCATATATTTTCCTACCTTTGAAAAACACTCCACATACCCGAAGGGGCTCACAAAAAACTTGTAATGCAAATGAATAAACATTAACAAAATTCCAATTTAAGAGAACATAAAAACATCTTTACTGATCTCTCTTTGAATTATCCTAGCAAAGATCAGTATGTAAATATGAAGAATTCCTTTCTGCAGAGGACAGTGCAAAGCATGCTGTCAGATATTCTACACATTTATTCTGCAATGAGCCTGGGTGCCAAGTTACCAGTGTAGGAATGTAGTGAAGATGTTTTCAATGCAGGGCTCTTGTTCCTGCAACAGATCTTTAAACAGTATTCAATTTGACCTCCTACAGACATCAGCTTTTCTACAAGCCAAGTTACTAATTTTCATTGCTTCAGAAAACAGACATAAGCATCTGACTGTGCATGGGAGTATCATCTAGGAATTAGTAACTACCAATTATTTTATACGGAGCAATACTTCAAGACTGTCTTCCCTTCATTCTTTAATTTTAATGTATTTTATTTTTTAGCTTTTGGCACTGTCTCTATTTCTGTCTCTTTCTCTTATATACTACCTTCTTTCAGCCTTTGTAGTCCAGCAGATCATGTTTCCCTACTGTTTGCCAAAATGTGGAGGATTGCAAGGGAATTAAATTGCTGCAAAAGCTGGATCCCACAGGATGCCCAGCAAACTGTCTTTATCTTTTGACATTTATGCCATGAAACATAAAGAGTCACTTTCTAAAATGGCTCCTATCCCAGATTCTTGGCTCCCTTGACAACACTGGAAAACAAATCACAACATAACAACATAGCCAGTGGCAACAATTTTGCCTTCACGGGTGCTGACAAGTCAGGCTGACACCGGAGATTCTCCACCCACTAGCAGTCACTGAGGATTCCCAGGGCTTTCCCAGGAGGAGTGGCTTAGGGAATGGGAAGGGGCTCTGTTTGTAACTGGAGACAGGTTGGGGCATTTCAAACAAGTTTGAAACATGGTGTATAATGTAGATATATTACCTTATTTGGGATACCAGACAATCTTTTTAACAGCTGCCAGTTTTAGCCATGCTCTCTGTTATAAGGGACTGTTGGAAGAAAGGTGGACCTGCAGTACTGGCTAGTGAGTACACAGATTTAAACCTGTGTCATGCCAACTCTCATTTTGTAGCTTATGTTGCAAATATAAATCATTTCATCTTTTCCAGCTCCAGAGTTGTCCATGCTAAAGGCTGCAGCCCCATGGGAAAACACACTTTGAAGAGACTTAGGTTTAATCCTCAGCTTCCCTAGGTAGGACAGGAAAAGGACCTTCTGAGATACTCTGGAGAGACACATAAACCATTCTAAGCTAAATGGGCTGATGTAAGGCAGCTTCCTATTGCCATAAGTTTGGGAGGTTAGATGAGTGGCATCTGGGATGTCTTCCAATTTGACAGTTCCACAATCATTCTAGTCCTCATGGGATTAAAATCTCATGAGAGGAAGAGAGAGAGATGCTCGCTGCCCCTGTTCTAGTGACATGTCCCTGATGCTTGGCTTCCAACTGCCCTCTGTACCCTTGAAAGGTGCAAGTGTGAAGCAAGGAGGCTGTTCTACGTAAGTGCTCTTCTCCGGAGCTACCCATGCTAAGACAAGACTTTACTTAACAGGCCTGGCAAGCACCTCTTTGGTTAGACAAACTATAGAGGCAATATATTGCCATAGGACTACTGATTGCTCTCAGAAGCTGATGGTAAGTCAGAAGCAAGTCCCACGAACTTCAGTGCAACTTATATCCTACTAAGTATGTATACATGCAGATTACTACTTGTAGAACTTCTGGGCATTGTAGAACAGGATCCACAGGTAAAGCAAGAGGAGGTAGTAAAACAGACTTCACTATTTCAGATTTCAGATCTGAATGCTTTCCTATGTTACACAGAAAACAACTGCTTCCAAAGTCAAAAGGCGATACAAAAGGCAATCAGTCTAGTTTTCTCCCTAAAATGCACATTGTCTCTATATAGGAACCTTTGCTGCAGCGGATGGTGGAGAGACAAGAAGGTTAACGTGAGGAGATATTTAAAAATGACATCACCTTCTTGTAATGTACAACCCATTCTACTCCAAGCATGGACCGGGCAGCTTTCACATCCAGGCTATTAACAGTGCTATCCTTGCATGTTTACTCGGAAATAAATCCATCTGAATTCACAGGACTTCCAAGAGTGTGCGCACTGGCCCGTAAGCCGAAGAGAGCATGCGGAGGCGATGAGCTGCAGCAGGGGCTCCACTTGTGCCGAAGCTTCGCCTTGCAATCTGTTTCCAGGACTATGAAAGAGCAAATCATGATCACAATAGTTGCTGCTGCTTTTGACCACGCACGGATTGCTTTCTCCGATGGAGTAGCACGGTTTCCCTGGGCTGCTGTGGCCGGAAAAGTGAAGCCCCAGCTGGATCCCCCGAGGGAAAGGAGGGGGCACAGCTTCAAACAAGAACGCCCCGGCTCGGCCCGGCCCGGCCCGGCCCGGCCCCGCCCCGCACCTGCCTCCTCCCCGCGGGCCCCGCCTTCCCGGCTGGCGAGCGAGCGGCTGCCGGCGAAAGCGCCTGCCCGCGTCTTTTTTGTAAGGGAGCCGCCGCCGCCGCCGCCGCCGCCGCGGTCTCTGCCTCTGCTGGTCCCGCTGTTGCAGACGAGGATCTGCCACCATGGGGAGAGTGCAAGGAGGGATGCGCTGTGTCAAGTTCCTGCTCTTCATTTTCAACTTCGCCTTCTGGGTCAGTGCGGAGCGCCCCCGATTGGAGAGCCGAACGGCGCCGGGGCCGGGGCCGGGTCAGGGGGCACGCACGAGCGGCTCGGGGGCCAAGGGGCTGTGCACGAAGAGATCCGTGCCCAGGGAAGCGGGGCAGCTGGGTGGGACGTCGCCCGGACGGGCAGTGGGAAGAGGCTGACCGGGAGCCCGGCGCTGGGAGTGGGAGATCCAACCCTTCCCGCAAGTGCTTGCTCGGGGCGCGGCCCCCGCCTCAGCAGCAGGAGCCGTGCCCCTTGAGCCCCGCGGGCTACGGTTCGGCTCCAACGCGGGGCTGCAGACCAGCCCGTGTGCTTCACCGCGCTCCCGGGAAGATGACTGGCTTCTCCCCTTGGAGCATCCCCCTGGTTCTGCCACCTCCGGTTCTCTTTGGGATGGTTAGGGGGGACGGTAAGAGCCAGAGCTGATGCGCACACCCTTCTCCGACCGCGTTGGCGGGCACCGCTGCCTTCTCTCAGGGACGGATCGATCCGTGCAATGCTTGGGTGGTGTGGGAGCAGGTTTCTTTTCGTGTTGGACCCTCTCGTTTTGCAAGGGCTTCTCAGAACATGCAAGCGATTGATTGATGTTCATGCATGTATGAACTTGGCTGAAGAGAATGACGCTGAGTCCTTCCACAATAGAGTAAGCAGTTGAGTGGATGTGTTTTGAAGCTGATTGTCGAGGCTCTTCTGCCGTATTCGGCAGCCTTTCTCACTCTGGTCCTCTCCAGATATGTTAGAGTACAACTCCTATCAGATTCAGCCAGCACAGTCAAGGATTATGGGGCTTGTGATGCAAAACATCTGGAGGGCAGCAGGTGGGGAAACACCAGAGTAAAGCATGCAAATTTATTTATTTAACTTCTCTACTGTCCAATAGCCAAAGCTATCTTGTCAGATTGGGGGTATTATCAGGCCTACCACTGTAGGTTCAATACATGCATTTAGTGGATGATTTACCTCTCTCAGGACACTGTTAGATGCATGTTCAGGCAGAAAAAAGCCCTGTATTTCCCAGCATCCCCCAGCAAGTCATGCATAGGATTGTGCTTCCAGTGTGTCCATCTACATCGTATCATGATCGTTCTCTTTGGTGCTGGTGAGCTCATCCAGCCAGGTGTCTGCCTCCCCATCCCTTGTATGTGTCAGTAATCTGTAATTCAGCTGCATCTCTCTGCTTTTGCCCGAATCATCCATGGGGCCATGCACATGCTGCGAGTGAAGTCGGCCTGCGCAAGTAGACCAACATGAAAAGGCTGAAACTCTGAGTGACACCAAATGCTTTATTGCCTGCCCCTCCCTCCAAATAAATACATGGTTATGATTTGTTTCAGTGGAATACGGTTTCTTTTTCCTGTGGGAAGTCAGTTGTGAAACCACTACAGATTTTAAATAACACAGATACGCAAGCATTGGTTAGAATACTGCACGAATAGGAAATTGTACTTAACCTGAAGTATATGTAAGGCTATGTGATTGTTCAGCTGATATCCCTAGAAGTGGTATTAACTAGTGTTGCCTTCCCCAACCTGGTGTTGTCCAGATGAGTTGGACAGAGTGCCCATCATCCCCAGCTAGCATTGCCATTGACCTGTATTGGTTGTTAACACTTGAACCTGCATATAATAAAATACAACCATGATTCTGCAGGTCTTTCATTCCATTGCAAGACTGTAAAGATAGAAGACCACACTGGATTTGTTTGTTTGTTGATATAAAAGCCATCCATTAGCATAATGCTCTCTGGGCAGCCATTACATTAAAATAACAATAATAGCAATAAAATAATACAATTAAATGTTATAATAAATTGACAGAATAAAACACTATATATCAACAAAAACTTTAACATAAATTAATTAAATTGGATAAAATTAAAACTAGTGTTGTCATGTAGATAGTTTAAGTAGTGCCATGGCTATATCAAGAAAGGAATGTTTTTCTCAGGCACTGAAAACTCAATAAAATAGGCCCCTGATGAATGTCCAATGACAAGGCATTCCATAATTGTGGTACCAGCAGAAAAAGGCCCTCCTCCTTGCTGTTTCCTCCTCAACCTCCTTAGTGAGAGGAACCTGTATGATGATGATGATCTTAAACAACAGGCAGGTATGTATGGAGTAAGACACTCCCTAAGATAGTGTGGTCCCAAAGCCCTTCAGGGCTTTATATGTCATAGTCAAAACCTTGAATTCAGCCCAGACTGGTAGAGGCAGCCAGTGCAGTCGATAAAGGACCGGTGTAAAGTGTTATAAGAACTGGTCTTTGACAATAACCCTGCTGCCCTGTTTTGGATCATTTGAAGAATCCAGGCTGTCTTCAATGGAAGACCCACATAAAGTGCATTACAGTAAGTAGTCCAGTCTGGAGTTTACCAGTGCATGGATAACTGGTTTGTTGTCCCCCAGAATCAGACTTTCCTTCTCCCTTTTGAGGTATCCACTGACTGCCAGCAGCATTGGTCTTGCCCACTCCTTTTCCCTCACTAACTGGGCAGACCATACATGCTGCCTCAGCAGGCTGGATGGTTTCAGGAAACTGAGAAAGAGAAAGCAGGCACTGGAGAAGCCTGTCGGCTTCAAAGAGTGCAGTGCAAGGTGGCTGGAAGCAGACTTGACAGCTAGCGGTTCAAGCATCGTTTTCCCATAAGAGAAAGCCTGAGGACCAGTTATGTCTGGCAAGTTTAGCCAGAGCTGTTTGGTTGGCACTTTGCTCACAATCTGCAGTCAAGTCGCTAGTTGACCGATTAGGCTAATTTACCAATCATTTGCTTTTCAAAAGAACTGTTGTTGCAAGGGTGGTTTGTTGCCTAATATCCTGCCTGCAGAGCTATGATACCCTTTCTTAGAAATAGCTTTTAATTTCAGCATCTCTAGTCACATGGCAAAGAGCTTGTATATGTTTTAGGTTCTGTTATGAAAAGAACTTCGCTCTTGATCTTCTAACAATTTGGATTAGACTCCCCCAGTTTGTCTGTTGAGCATTCCGGAATCCTGCTCTTTGCTGTACTTGCAGTGAAGCCTCTCTCTACAAACAGAAAGAGTGGTTTTACCCCCTGAATTCCAAAGGAATAAATATTACTTTAATTGGTGGTACTGTAGTTTATATTTCATACAACACATCTCTTAGCTCTGAGTGCCAGCATCATCCTGCCAAGAGAAAAAAAAAGTGCTTCCGTGAAGCCATAGAAACAGCAAAGGAAATAAACAGCTACAACGGGGCAGATTTGTTTATCCTTGGCATTGTTTTGCTATCCACACTTTCCCGGAGTGGTATGGCTCTCTGTGCCTAAGCAATGCAGCCTATCACTAATCAGAAAGGAAAGAAACCATGAATAATTTCTAAGGAACACTCTTAAATATGGGCACACTTCCACAGTTACATAAAATGGCCTATGTGAAATGGATTTCCCTATAACTTTCTTCCATATATTTACTTTGGGGAGGTTGTTTAGAACTTTCTAAATAAAACATAAATGCTTTTAAAAATACAGTATATAGTAGAAATAGTTCAGATTAACAACACAGTTCCATGGGCAGCTACTCAAAAGTAAGTTTTTGAGTTCAGTAGGACTTATTCCTAGGTAAGTATGCATAGGATGAAGCTTTAATATCATGAATTTGATGTTCTGGGCCAGCATATATTCCATGCTAAAAACAAATCAAGTATCTCCAACAAAACAACCAGAATTCTGTGTCTTATGAAGGCCTATTTTGCATGTTTCCTTATTATCTGCCTTCATAAAGCAAATGGAAAGTCTGAACTGGGCTTCAGATTTTAAATGCCAAATGGTTTTGGAATGTGTACACCAAGCTTCATTTGGATATCTCAGTCTTCAAGATATCAGATGAAAAAATCTTACATATTTTTCATTTCTCCTTTGAAAAAGAGTACAAGGAGTTGAGCTTGCAGGTAAAATTCTGTCCTGGACAGACATTATCCAGAGATGATGTTGATATCTTAGTCTTGCATTACAACACATGCACAAACAAATGGATTCCAAATGTAGAAGTTAAATTGAAGGCTTTGGTTTGCACAGGTAGTTCTATATATTGAAGGTATTTGTGTAACTGAGTTTACTTCTGTTTTTCATTCATGGAATAAGGATACTGAGTTCTTGCCCTCTCTTTGGTGAAAATCATATATGGTAATCCTGGGTTTTGATGTTTCACTGGGTATTTCTCATATTCCTCCAAGCCTATATTCACAGCAATAAATAAGGCCTATAACCTTTATTTTAGAAAAAATGAAAGCTAAAATACTAAGCATTCTGAGTTCTGCACCCAATATGAAATCTTTGCAGAATTCTCAGAGGCAGATCTCTTCCTCCTCCTCCTGAGTGCTCTTCTGTTTGTTGAGTAACACCATGCCGGGCTTTCATCCGATCTCTTGGAGACCTGATTGTAGCATTTACTGGAAGTAAGGAAATACACTTTTTGCCTCTCATTCAGCATTGCTTCATCCCTGTGGTTTTTGTCTCAGGATGTGGTTGGCTTATCAGGTGCTTCCAGATGAATGTCTTGCTACCAATCAAAATACACTCTTCAACTGTACCATCTTTCCCCTTAACGGACATTTCTGTGAGTAACAAACAAGACTGAAGTGATAGAAAAGCACAGGAGTGACATGAATGGAAGACAGTGCAAGGGTCCTCCCATAAAGTTCCATACCTGACCGAGGGCAATAGCATCGTACGTCCCTCTGGCTTTGTTTGCCAGATCAAACTGAGATGCTTTCATGGCATTACAGTTGCTAAACTAAGGGTGGGCAAGTCAGGGCTCTCATGCTTTGGCCTACAGCACCCATCAGCCATTCCCAGCATAGACTATGATAAGGCATCATGGGAGCTGTAGGCCAAAATATCTGGAGGGCCACGAATTGCCCACCCCTGTTTCACACACATATTTTCAGTATACTAAGAGAGTTTTGTTTCCTTGGAAAGTTTAGAGGCACTTCATATTCAAATGAAATAAGCACTCTTAAAAAC